CTGCGCCCTGACGCTGCGCGCGGGGGCGCGACCGCCAGCCACAAAGCGCGTGTGTGTATATATATACTTATATGTACGCGTGTGTGTGTGTGTGTGAATGTGTGCGTGTGGGCGTGCGTGTGTGCGTGTGTGTTTGTGTGTGCGTGTGTGTGTGTGTGTGTGTGCGTGCGTGTGTGTGTGTGCGTGTGTGTGTGTTGCGTGTGTCAGTGTGCTTCTTGTATTCCACATATCTAGACTGCCTCATGTTGGTTGAGGTCCAGCGAAGCCACGCACCACACGGTTTTTCAGATTATGCCTGCCTGCTTTTGTACGTTTGCATCCTGCGATAATTTCGTGACACGTTCAATGTCATGGCCCGCGTAGGGCAATCCGCGTGGGCACCTCTGTTTGGATATGTATGTGCCAGCGCTCTCTCCCCTCTCTTGCTCTTCCCTTGCCTGTCCGTCCTCTTCCGCCGTCTTCCTCTTGTCTCTTGGCCGTTGGTCCCGATCCCGCGCTCGCTCCGCCTCGCGCCTGGCACCCTCCCAGACAGCCGAGCTTGAACTTTGCCGGCAGCTTTCATGTTCAAAGCCTCCGAGGACGAGGTTTAGGGGCCTGCTCAAGCCGCCCCAGGCGGCGCACACAATTGTGGATCTCTATTCGGTTTGGCTTGTGACAGGTGCTTACTGTTACGTCACAGTGTGCTAATTCTTGGTGTGCTTATATTGGGCGCCTCTCGGCGATCGGAGCTTCGCTCCTCCTGGCAGCGCCCTGCCAGTTGGGGCTCTGGTGGACGTGGCGGTGGGGGCGGCATCTGACAACGATACTCATCACAAGCGTGACCCAGGTAGGCGTGGAGCGTCAACCAACTTGGCGACGTGTACCACCCCCTGACACCTACATGCCAATTAATTTCAGTCCATATCAATCCATATTCAGCGCGTTCAACACGCCAGTCAATTATATACTGCGGGGTGATTCACGTGCGCATGGCGCAGGATTAACTTGTGGAGCGGGACATTTGCTTGCTGGTCGGTAGCTACATCACCGACGATTCAAGATGGCTCCCGCGATTCTCAATACTCAATTCGACGCCCTGGGCCACTCACCACCGACGCAATCAGATTAACAGGGTTCCCTACTACACTCACCTCGAGATTGTAGTGGCCCACGAGCAGTTTCAGAGGACGGAGGCATACTCGCAGGCGTTTCATCAATGGCTACGTGGTCAAGGACACTGGCGTGCTCAATAATCTGGAGGATGCTCTCCTACATGCAGCCTGCCGTCTGGTACGCCCTACGTGCAGGTGCGACTCCTCCTCTCTATAAGGTCGAGCGGCATTCTCTGGGAAAGCTCCCACATCTGTCTCACCGCATACTCCAAAATAAACAAATCGGTGCGCTGGTGTGGGGGATCGTCCTACTATGTATGATCCAGCCGGCTACAAATTCACTTCAGAAAGACAATGATGAATTTCTCCGACTTTACCAATCCGCACGGAAACCCCTTCCCGAAGGCACCCTAATGCTACCTGCGTTAGTGAAGGAGCTTCAATTGGTCACCTCTTGGGCTACCCGACTCTCAGCATATACGGACGTCTTGGGAACTACACCGTACGCAACCACCCTAGCTATGCTATCCGCTGCTACGCTATGGCAATGTCTGGTCGACAAACCGTCCTCCCGTTTTTTTGAAGCTCTGCGCGCGACTCAGACGGATGCAGTTGCGAAGCTTGCGCTCCCAGGAACCAGCTCATACGTATCGGTGCTTGCGACAAGGCTGACGCGTTGCCTATCCTTATGCAATCTACGCATGCTGGCAACTGGCGGGCGAAAGGCTCGCGTACGTGCTACACGACTGATGCATAGCCCCCCCCCGCTTGCAGAGTGCATTTCAACGACGCGGGGAGTCTTCTATCGTGGCGGCTGCAGAGATTTTCTGCTCTGCACTACTACAAATCAAATGTGTGCTTGGGAAGGGCTCCCGCTCCTCTTCCGCAATACCATCCAGCACAGGCAGTTTTGTCTACCAAATAGGATCGGAAAGCCTGTGCATTGGCCAAGGGGCACTACATCGTGGGACGTCTGGGTACTCTGGCGGCGCTGGGCGCTTCCGCGAGCACCTCCGAAGCCTCCGTTGCATATCTCAAGGGATCCCCACACGGGAACGCAGCGGGCACCTCCAGTTGGCTCCAGGGTGCTCGTCTTGGCTTCTCTTCTTCTCCCTGACCCTGGTCCCGACCACGACCATGCATGCGGTTGAAGGTGCCCGCAAAACTTACACCAGACCATCCGCTAACAATCTATGCAACCCTCATCTCGGACGGCTTCGGGCACGATATCGGGACCATCCACGGGCTGGGCGCCGCAGGACAGCCAAACGAGAAGGTGGACCGCGGGAAGACATGCATACACCTATCCAGCGGGAGTGGTACGAAAAACGGATTACATCTTTATGTACAAAACACCTTGGGTTCTCTCGGTACCTGGCTGCCCGACACCCATGGCAGCATTTACTTCAGTCACCCTTCAGCGAGTTGCATGACATTCCCCTACGGCAACACTGTGCGTCAGGAAAAGGGCGCGGCCCTCTCCACATTGCAGGACCTGGCAGCAGTGTGCTCATGATGAAGTGGACCTCGGCGCACCCGCGCATGATACCATGGGCTCTCATCTGTGGGGCACGGCCCCTACGGTGGCGATTTCCTTTACACGGTCTGGGGATTTACCACTTTGTATCCGTTCTGGATGGACCGCGCGCGCGTCCGATCTTCTCAAATATTACATACATTCGCTCCGTCTCCCTACACCTGCTTGCTCCATTGTCCGTGTAGGACGCATCTCTGAGCTCGGCGGGGTCCGCCGATGGATCGCCCGGACAATGCAACAGGCGCGCCCGCGCAGACCAGCATGGGCACCCCGGGCTGCAAAAACTACCCATTTGATTGTCAGACCGACCCCCACGATAAGGAAGCAGTACTGTAACATTGCGAAGGTTTTCTGGGCACCACGGTACACTCCGTTGGGAGATCTATTTCTTCAGGACTATGACTGTGCAGCACGGGGTGGAGATATGGAACGGGCCCCCATGAGCGGCCGTATCCAGCTCATCGCCCCCACCCTTCCCACCTCACAGCTTGCCGAAAGTAAAACCTCCTGCCGCCGCTAGCTTGGTTCCCAAGGCCTGGACAGGTCCGTCTACCCTCCGTATCGGCCCCCGCGGACCAGCCCTGACGCCCCTCCGACTTCCCGCGATGAACGACGGTACCAGGCCCTTGGGGAGGCCCGCGCGGCGTTTGAGACCAGGGCCCAGCGGCCCTCCGAGGGGACGTGTTTTACGGTGGAGGATAAGATTTGGCGCGCTGGCTAGGAATGCTGGCGCGGGCCCCCACGCGACGGCGTGTGGTGGACGCCTCCACGGCTGCTGTTGCGTCGTGGTACCGACTCCTGTGCGATTACACGATCCCGAAGTCCCTCCGCGCAAAAGGGAAGGGCCATTGAATGAAAGTCACATCCCATACATATACCCCACGGTTAAACTAAAGTGTTGGAATGGTGAACGACCCCCCCCCCCGCACAGGGACGACATACATGTGCGAAGCCTCGACGCAGATGTTTTCGGAATAGTCGCAGCTTTGCACGGCTCCCGTCTCGCTCCCTCTATCGATCCCTCAGCCGAGCATTTACGTTCATATCTAACCAAATGAATACAGGTTGGTCCTTCTCACCCCTCGACGGTGCCGTGTCTAAAATCATTGCGCAGTATCACCACCTTGGGCGAGCCCCTCCCGATGCCCCATGCGCGTGCAGGGGCTGCGGTCAGCGGCTGGAGAGCCCTGGCGCTGCGGTTGGGGGCGCGGGCCAGGCATGCGAGGCCATTTCCGTGGAGCACACCCATGACTGTTTAGATCGTCTCTTTGTGAAGCTGGAGGCGAGCGAGACTGCAGGAAAGAACAAATGCATCACGGTCATGCGTACTCAACGGGCCCATGTACTCTTCGGAGGAAGTGCTAACCAACGCCTATGGAACCGCACTGTCTGGCTGCCCAATAGTATCCGGCGGGCTCTGGAAGGCTTCTTGGGTACGAGGCTCCTCTTGGTCAGTGGTCGTGTGGTTGAACACCTCCGTGGGATTCTGATAGGTGGGCCCCTTACTGGGGCTATACTACAGGCCGCATTTAGTGATCTTGAGTTTCATATTGATTTACAATGCCCAGACCGCCGTAGTTCTATTATGACGGGTCGGTATGTTGATGACATTATCCTGGCTTCCAGACTGTGTTGCAGTTCCTGTCCCAAACGATTGGTCCACACCGTCTATGGCTCGCTGGTGAAGTTTGACTTTGCCGACCCCACCCCACTTGATGCAAAGACGTTAATGGTCCCTTATCTGGAAACTACGTTGTATTTTACCATGTGTCGGGCCACCCACTGGACGGTCCATGAGAATGAAGCCGATGCCTTTTCGGGCGACTTGGGACGTCTTGTGAAGCAATCTCTGGTCCCATACCTCGGGGCGTTCCCACCGACCTTAGACAACAACGGGCTGAACTAAAAGGTCGTCTGCAAAATGGGAATACCTACAGGCGTGTGATTTCAACTTGGTGGTTCTTGCGTGTAGTGATGTATTGCTGCTTCTTCGATTGGGCTACAGTTCTCAACGAATGTATCGGATATGGAAACGAATCCCCCCACCATCCCCGCACCTGAATAGTAGTATGGCGTCAGTCCGACTTGTTATCCTGACATCCCGCCCTCCACGTGCTCCTCCTAGGGTATGAGCAGCCTTTTCTCTCAGATCCTCGCTGACTCCCCGGCGGGCGACCCTGTTCCCAACCCTGGCCCGACGCCGCAGCAGGACGGCCGGATGTTCTCCTCATGGCGGAAAGGCGGCAGCAAAGGTGTCGGCAAGGGCCAGCGCGGGGGGCCCCACGCCCCGCGGCGCACCCAGTCATTGGGAAAAGAGGGGGGCCAGCAACTTCGGAGGCAGCATGGGCGGCAGCGTGAACGCAGACTCGCAGGGATGCTCGGCCAGATGACCTCGGCCATGGACAACATCGCGGCCCTCGGGGAGCTCACGCGCGCGGGCAATGCTCTGGCGCAAACCCAGCAGCAGCCCACGCCGCCCGCGGCCAACGTCGGGCCGCCCCCAGCCGCGAGCCCCGCGACACCGGGCGGCCCGACCAACTCGGAGCCGGCTCGGGAGCTCGTCGGCGCCCTCACCGAGGTGCTTCGCTCCATCTCTCCCGGCGACTCCAGGCCACAGACGATCACTCGCCTCCGCGACCTCGTGGGCAGCACAACCCCTACTTCCACAGCGACCGCGGCAGGTTCTACCACAGGTGCCACGCCATCTTCCAACCCGCTGGCCGCAAACCCGATCATCCAGCAGCTGCAGAACAACGCGGCGACGCCCCAGAGCACGGTGGGAACCCACGGCCAGCAAATCAGCGCCATCAATGCGACGCTTGCGGGGGGCGCCGAATATTCCCGCGCCACGCGCCAGATGATGGAACGCATGATGGCGACGCAGCAGCCACCCTCCAGCGGGGCCCCTTCCTCGCCGCCAAGAGCTACCATCTCGGCGCCCGCCCTCACGCCTTCACCACCTTTGCCATCATCAGGTGGGCCCGGAGGCTCAGGGGCTCCGACGCGTCCAACCCTGATGGCCCCATTGATGACGGTCAGGGACCACGACCATGCCTTCGCGATCTTGGCGGTTGGAGCTCAGCGCCAGAACATGACCCAGCTATCCCAGGAACTCAGCGCTGCCACCAATGCCTCGATGCCGTACGAGGCTTGATGGTCTGAGATCGCGCGCTGCAAAGGCATCTCACTGCGGCAGGTGAAGCTTCAGCCCCTCGGCATGCCCGCCTCTGATACGACGACGGCTTCGAAATTCAGTAAGATCGGCCAGCTTATGTAATCCCGACTTCCGCATGATGGTTCATGGAGCGAAGCGGACCTTCAGACTATCACGCTCCAGTGAACGTCCCCTACTTCAAACTCGATCTTTACCCACCCTATGGAATGTGACACAGTGTGGCGGATGTTCCGTGCAGTTGGACTTATGGTGCCTGTGGTGACTTTCCTCTGGAGTGCATATCAGCTGTGTCTCTTTGTGGGGGTTGCTCGGGCTTCTGCTGAAAGTTTACTGACCTTTGCAATCCAAAGGACTCTTGCCATACTCCCCATGGTGGCCCTATGGGTGGTGTTTGGTCACTTGCTTCCTGCTGCTACTCAATGGATGGGATACCTCACAAGCATGCAAGGCCAGGCCCACATTTCCGACGACCTCGCTTCGGGCATGACCAAGTTTGGCCCTACTACTGGCGAGTCCTGGGTTTGGCTTGCAGCTGTGTCCCGACCACTGCTTGTTGGTCTGCGCGCGTATCTGGGCCACTAATCAACATGTCGGGTCAGAACAGAGGTGATGGCAACGCCCATGAAGGCCCCGCGGACCCACGTGAGGCCTGATTTCCACTGCTGCTGATATCTCTCTACTCTCCCACGCCATCCTTATGGACGGGTTTGTGTGTGCTTCTTGTATACCGCATATCTAGACTGCCTCGTGTTTGTTGAGGTCCGGCGAAGCCACGCACCGCGCGGTTTTTCAGATTATGTCTGCCTGCTTTGGCACGTTTGCATCCTGCGATACTCTCGTGACACGTTCAATGTCATGGCCCGCGTCGGGAAATCCGCGTGGGCACCTCTGATTGGATATGCATGTGCCAGCGCTCTCTCCCCTCTCTTGCTCTTCCCTTGCCTGTCCGTCCTCTTCCGCCGTCTTCCTCCTGTCTCTTGTCCGTTGGTCCCGCTCCCGCGCTCGCCCCGCCTCCCGCCTGGGCCTCCCCCAGACAGCGGAGCTTGAACTTTGCTCGCTGCAGCTTTCATGTTCAAAGCCTCCGAGGACGAGGTTTAGGGGCCTGCTCAAGCCGCCCCAGGCGGCGCACAACTGTGGATCTCAATCCGGTTTGGCTTGCGACAGGTGCTTGACAAATACTGCTACGCCACAGCGTTATGATTCTTAGTGTGCTTCTATTGGACGCCTTTCGGCGATCGGAGCTTCGCTCCTCCTCGCAGCACCATGGCAGTTGGGACTATGGTGGGCGTGACGGCGGGGACGACATCTGACGACGATCCTCATCGCAAGTGTGACCCAGGGAGGCTTGGAGCGTCAACCAGCTTGGCGACCCCCTGGCACCTACATACCAGTTCACGTCAGTCCAGATCAGTCCATATTCAGCGCGCTCAGCACGCCCGTCTATTATATACTTTGGAGTGGTTCAGGTGCGCATGGCGCAGAATCTACTTGTGGAACGGGGCATTTACTTGCTGGTGTGCAGCTACATCACCGACGACTCAAGATGGCTCCCACGATTATCATTAATCAAGTCAACGCTCTGGGCCACTCACCACCGACGCAATCAGATTACCAGGTATCTCTACTACACCCACCTCGAGATTGCAGTGGCCCACGAACAGTTTCAGAGGACGGAGGCATACTCGTAGGCGTTTCATCACTGGCCACGTGGTCAAGTACACTGGCGTGCTCAGTAGTCTCGAGGATGTTCTCCTACATGCAGCCTGCCGTCTGGTACGCCTCACGTGCAGGTGCGACACATCCTCTCTAGGAGGTCGAGCGGCATTATCTGCGAAGGCCCCCGCATCTGTCTCACCGCATACTCCAAAATAAGCACATCGGTGTGCTGGTTTGGGGAGTCATTCCATTATGTATGACCCAACCGACCACAAGTTCACTGAAGAGGGGCAATGCTGAGTTTCTCCGACTTTACCAATCCGCGCGGAACTCCCCGCCCCCCCCCCCCCCCCCGAAGGCACCCTAATTCTACCTGCGTTAGTGAAGGAGCTGCAGTTGGTCACCTCTTGGGCTACCCGGCTTTCAGCATATACTAACTTCTTGGGAACTTCGCCGCCCGCAACCACCCTAGCTATGCTATCCGCTACTACGCTATGGCAATGTCTGTTCGACAAACCGCACTCCCTTTTTTTGGAAGCTCTGCGCGCAGCCCAGACTGATGCAGTTGCGAAACTTGCGCTCCCAGGAACCAGCTCATACGTATCGGTGCTTGCGACAGGGCTGACGTGTTGCCTATCTTTATGCCGTCTACGCATGTTGGCAACTGGCGGGCGAAAGGCTCGCGCGCGTGCTACGCGACTGATGCGCAGCTCCCCCCCCCCGCTTGCAGAGTGCATTTCAACGGCGCGGGGGGCCTTCTATCGCGGAGGCTGCGGAGATTTTCTGCTCTGCGCTACTACAGATCAGATGTGTGATTGCGACGGGCTCCCGCTCCTCCTCCACAGTGCCATCCAGCAAGAGCAGTTTTGTCGACCAGATAGGATCGGAAAGCCTGCGCATTGGCCAAAGGGCTCTACATCGTGGGAAGCCTGGGCACTCTGGCGGCGCTGGGCGCTGCCGCGAGCACCTCCGAGGCCTCCGTTGCATATCTCAAGGGATCGCCACGCGGGAACGCAGCAGGTACCTCCAGTTGGCTCCAGGGTGCTCGTCTTGGCTTCTCTTCTTCTTCCTGACCCTGGTCCCGACCACGACCATGCACGCGGTTGAAAGTGCCCGCATAGCTTACACCAGACCATCGGCCAACAATCTATGCAACCCTCATCTCGGACGGCTTCGGGCACGATATCGGGATCATCCACGGGCCGGGCGCCGCAGGACAGCCAGACGAAAAGGTGGACCTCGGGAAAACATGCATGCATCTATCCAACAGGAGTGGTACGAAAAACGGATTACATCTGCATGTGCAAAACACCTTGGGCTCTCTCGGTACCTGGCTGTCCGACACCGATGGCAGCATTTACTTCAGCCACCCTTCAGCGAGTTGCATGACATTCCCCTACGGCAACACTGTGCGTCAGGAAAAGGGCGCGGCCCTCTCCGCATTGCAGGGCCTGGCAGCAGCGTGCTCATGATGAAGTGGACCTCGGCGCACCCACGCATGATACCATGGGCTCTCATCTGTGGGGCACGGCCCCACGGTGGCGATTTCCTTTACGCGGTCTGGGAATTTACCATTTTGCATCCGTTCTGGATGGACCGCGCGCGCGTCCGATCTTCTCAAGGATTGCAATAATCCGTTCCGTCTCCCTACACCTGCTTGCTCTATTGTCCGTGGAGGACGCATCTCTGAGCTCGGCGGGGCCCGCTGATGGATCGCCCGGACAGTGCAAAAGGAGCGCCCGCACAGACCAGCATGGGCATCCCGGGCTGCAAAATCTACCCGTTTGATTGTCAGACCGGCCCCCGCGATAAGGAAGCAGCACTGTGACATTGCGAAGGTTTCCCGGGCACCACGGTGCACTTCGTTGGGGGATCTATCTCTTCAAGACCGTGACTGTGCAGCACGGGGTGGAGATGTGGAACGGGCCCCCATGGGCGGCCGTGACCCGCCCATCGCACCCACCCTTCCCGCCTCACAGCTTGCCGAAACTAGGACCTCCTGCCGCCGCTGGCTTGGTGCCCAGGGCCTGGACAGGTCCGTCTACCCTCCGTGTCGGCCCCCGCGGGCCCGCCCTGACGCCCCTCCGACTTCCCGCGATGAACGACGGTGCCAGGCCCTTGGGGAGGCCCGCGCGGCGTTTGAGACCAGGGCCCAGCGGCCCTCCGAGGGGGTGCGTTTTACGGTGGAGGATAAGATTTGGCGCGCTGGCTAGGGATGCTGGCGCGGGCGCCCACGCGATGGCGCGTGGTGGGCACCTCCACGGCTGCTGTTGTGTCGCGGTACCGACTCCTGCGCGATTGCACGACCCCGAAGCCCCTCCGCGCGAAAGGGAAGGGCCACATATACCCCGCGGTTAAACTAGAAGCGTTGGAACGGTGAGCGCCCCCCCCCCCCGCGCAGGGGCGACGTGCATGTGCGAAACCGCAGCGCACTTGTTTTCTGAATATTCGCAGCTTTGCACGGCTCCCGCCTCGCTCCCCCCATCGATACCTCAGCCGAGCATTTGCGTTCATATCTAACCAAATCACTCCAGGTTGGTCCCTCTCATCCCTCGACGGTGCCGTCTCTCATATCGTTGCGCAATATGACCACCTTGGGCGAGCCCCTCCCGATGCCCCATGCGCGCGCAGGGGCTGCGGTCAGCGGCTGGAGAGCCCTTGCGTTGCGGTTGGGGGCGCGGGCCAGGCACGCGAGGCCATTTCCGTGGATCGCACCCATGACTGTTTAGATCGTCTCTTTGCGAAGCTGGAGGCGAGCGGGACTGCAGGCAAGAAAAACATACATCGCGGTCATGCTGCGCAACGGGCCCATGTATTCTTCGAGGGAAGTACTAACCAACGCCTATGGGACCGCGCGGTCTGGCTGCCCAGTAGTATCCGACGGGCTCTGGAAGGCTTCTTGGGTATGAGGCTCAGAGGTCTTGTGGTTCGACGCCTCCGTGGGATTCCGATCGGTGGGCCCCTTAGTGGGGCTATACTACACGCCGCACTGCATGA